GAAGTTGTCTCCTGACTGAAGGATTCGAAGCTGACTGGTTCGAAGCTCGCCTGGGCGCCTGAGCCGCTTCCGCCGCCGCCACCGCCTTCCTCCTCGCCGCCGCCGCCGCCGCCTCTTCCGCCGCCGCCGCAGCCGCCGCCCTCGCCGCCACCGCCGCCGTCGTCATCGTCGTCGTCGGCGACGGCGGCGTCGTCGGCGTCGTCGGCGTCGGCATCGTCGTCGTCGGCGTCGTCGTCGTCGTCGTCGTCGTCGTCGTCGTCGTCGTCGTCGTCGTCGTCGTGGTCGGCGTGGTCGACGGCGTCGTCGTCGTCGGCGTCGGCGTCGTCGTCGGCGAAGCGCCGGCGCAGCGCGCCGCCGCCGCGCCAGAGGCCGAGCGCGCCGCCCGAGGAGCGCCGCCCGCGGAGAGCGGCGCGCCCCCGCCGCCGCCCCCGCCGCGGCCTGCGGGGGCGCTGGGCGCCGCGCCGGGGCTCGTCGAGGGGCAGGCCTCGGCGGCGTGGGCCAGCCGCGAACTGGGAGGAGGAGTAGGAGGAGGAGGAGGAGGAGGAGGAGGAGGAGGAGGAGGAGGCGGAGGGAGGAGGCGGCGGGGAGCGGAGCGGAAGGCGGAGGGCGGAGGAGGAGGAGGCGGGGAGTGGAGGAGGAGGAGGAGGAGGAGGAAGGAGGAGGTGGAGGCGGGAAGCGGAGGCGCGAGGTCGGAGGAGGAGGAGGAGGAGGAGGAGGAGGGGAGGAGGAGGAGGAGGAAGAGGAGGAGGAGCATGCGGAGGCCTGGAGGCGGAGGCGGAGGCGGAGGCGGAGGAGGAGGAGGAGGCGGAGGAGGGGGGAGGAGGAGGATGGAGGAGGAGGAGGAGGATAGAGGAGGAGGAGGAGGAGGAGGAGGGGGAGGGGGAGGAGTTTTTTGTGCTCCCTCGGGTAGCGCCCGGAAAAGTGCAGCCTGAGGAGGGAGGGCGCGGGCTGGGGCGCGGGGCGGGGCGCCGCGCGCCCGATCAGCACGCCTTCGCGCTGGTCGCCAACCGCCCCTCCGCCTGCTCCACGCTCTCCCTCGTCAGCGGCCCTCCACGCCGCTACCGCGCCATCTTCCCGAGCCGCGCCACCTGGGCATCCTGCTCTGCCTGGAGCCGCGTGCTGTCGTCCATCCCATCGACAAACGACTCGAAGAGGCGCTGCCACCTCTCTATCACCTGGCGCTCCAGCTTCTCGCTCGCCCTGTAGTCTGTTCAGACGGCCTCCTCGGCTTCCGCGACGTCCTCGCAGACGCCTGCCGCTGGAACCTGAGCGCCCTCGATGTTGACCTCCATGCTGCTCGTCGCGGCGTCCGTCGCCGCCGAGTCCCGGAGCAACTGCATGCAAGCATCCAGCAAGTCACGGGGTGTCCCAGTTCATCTGCTCGAGCTCCTGGTACGCCTGTGTGCTCGCGCGTGGGGCCGCTCCTTCAGGCGGGCGCTCTCAAACCTGAGACCCTCGACCACCGTGTCGGGCGCGTCGCCCTGCAGGTCCGCGCCCTGCAGCAGGCCCTGCCGCAGGATGCTCGTCAGCCCTGGAGGCTGCCCGACCGTGTCCCCGTGCTCCTACGGGATGTGAAAACGACCACAGCCACTGCTTTTCTTTTGTTGTCGCCTTCCAGCCTGCTGTGGTCATTTTCGTTGAGCTTGGCACCAGCGAAATGACCACAACCACTGCTTCTTTTTCGGCCTGCTGGAAGGCGGCGCAAACAAGAAGCAGTGGCTGTGGTCATTTTCCCGTCCCGCATGGAAGTCCTGGAGCTGCTCCTCGGTGTGCACCGAAGCCTGGTCGTCCTCGCTGCCACTGCGCACGCCACGGCGCTCCTGCCCGTTCGAGTCGCTGGGGGCTCTGTGTGTGCGGCCCCCCGCCGCGCCACGGAGTGCAGCACGTCGTCCCTGCTCGCCTTTGCCAGGTAGGCGGACTGGGTACTGCCCTGGTTGCCCTGTAAGCTCTTCTGGTTGCCGTCGATCCGCGGGGGCTCGTAGAGGCTCACCTGCACCCCGTCGGCCCCAGCAACGTCGTTGATGCTCAGCTCCGCGCCGAAGGTGTCGAGCCTCCTGCACTGGCCCACGAGCTCCGCGTTGTCGGGGGTTGTTTGTCCCCCAGCGCGCCACGTAGTGCAGCACGTCGCCCTTGCTCACCTTTGCCAGGTAGGCGGACTGGGTGCTGCCCTGGTTGCCCTGCAAGCTCTTCTGGTTGCCGTCGATCCGCGGGGGCTCGTAGAGGCTCACCTGCACCCCGTCGGCCCCAACAACGTCGTTGATGCGCAGCTCCGCGCCGAAGGCGTCGTTCCTCCTGCCCTTGCCCACGAGCTCCGCGTTGGGAGGGTTTATCTGTGCTGCCCTCACCGTGCCTGGTACTGCCTCGCGTCGCCCTGGCTCACCTCCTTTTCGTAGGTGTTCGGGTGACTGCCTTGGTAGCCCTGCAAGCTCTGCCGGTTGCCGCCGCCCCCCATCGCCCCTCCAGCCGGCGGACCGACGCCCAGCTCCTGCAGCAGCGTGTCGGCCTTCGCGAAGGCCATGGGCGTGAAGGGCACGGCATCACGTCGCAGCGGGGGCGCCTCGCCTTTCAGCAGGCGCTCGAGCGCCCGCGCGTCCCAGCCTGCGCGCGCGGGGGCGCCAGCGGCCGAGAGGCGGGGGGGGGGCCGCCCGCTGCACCAGGCGGAGGCGCGTGCCTGGCCCAGTTGCCGTCCTGGAGCACCGCCTCGCTGTGCGCAGTGACGCCTGCGGGCATGCGCAGCAGCCTGGCCGCCTGCAGCGCCTCGAGGCTGTCGCACAGCTGCCAGCGCTCGCGCAGGGAGGCGCAGAACGCCTTCCCGCGCACCACCAGCGCAGCCGCCCGCGACGGTCAATCATCGCGTCGGATCTCGCGCCGCCGCCTGCGGGCGAGGGTGCGGGCGCTCGCGGCGGCCCATCGCTTGCCGCCAGGCGCGCCGCCCGCCGCGTCCATGGCCTCTGGCGCGCCATGCGCCCTCGCGGCGCGCTGCGAGGGCCCCCCGATGCCTGCTCACTTGAGCCAGAATGGCTACGGACGAGGAGGAGGAGGAGGAGGAGGAGGAGGAGGAGGAGGAGGAGGATGAGGAGGAGGAAGAGGAGGAGGAGGAGGAGGAGGAGGAGGAGGAGGAGGAGGAGGGGAGGAGGAGGAGGAGGAGAGAGGAGGGGAGGAGGAGCGAGTGTTCGTCGTCGGGGGTCTTCCCGGTGTCGTCGTCGTCGTCCTCTGTCGTCGGTCGTCGTGTCTTCGTCGTCGTCGTCGTCGTCTCGTCGTTCGTGGCTCGCGTCGTTCGTCAGTCGTAAGTCGTCGTCGTCGTCGTCGTGTCGTCGTCGTCGTCGTCGGCGGCGGCGGCGGCGGCGGGCGGCGGGGGCGGCGGCGGCGTCGTCGTCGTCGTCGTCGTCGTCGGCGCGGTCGTCGGCGTCGTCGTCGTAGTCGTCCGCGTCGTCGGCGGCGTCGTGGTCGGCGTCGTCCTCGGCGAGGCGCCGGCGCAGCGCGCCGCCGCCGCGCCCGAGGCCGAGCGCGCCACCCGAGGAGCGCAGCCCGCGGAGAGCGGCGCGCCCCCGCCGCCGCCCCCGCCGTGGCCTGCGGGGGCGCTGGGCGCCGCGCCGGAGGGGCTCGTCGAGGGGAAGAAGGCCTCAGCGGCATGAGCCAGCCTCGAACTAGGAGGAGGAGGAGGAGGAGGAGGTAGGAGGAGGAGGAGGAGGAGGTGGAGGGAGGGAGGAGGAGGCGGCGGAGGCGGAGAGAGGAGGAGGGAGGAGGAGGAGGGCGGCGGATGAGGAGGAGGAGGGGAGGAGGAGGAGGAGGAGGAGGAGGAGGAGGCAGGATGAGGGGAAGGAGGATGAGGAGGAGGAGGATGGAGGAGGAGGAAGGAGAGGAGGAGGAGGAGGAGGAGGAGGACGGAGAGCAGGAGCAGGAGCAGGAGAGGGGGAGGCAGGAGGAGGAGGAGGAGGAGGAGGAGGAGGAGGAGGAGGAGGAGGAGGAGGAAGGCGGAGGCGGCGGCGGGAGGGCGGAGGCGGAGGCGAGGCGGGGGCGAGGAGGGGAGGCGAGGCGGAGGGGGAGGAGGCGGAGGAGGATGGCCGAGGACGCGGAGGTGGGGGGGAGGGGAGGACGGAGAAGGAGGAGGAGGAGGAGGAGGAGGAAGAAGAGGAGGAGGGGGAGGAGGAGGAGGAGGAGGTAGGAGGAGGAGGAGGAGGGAGGGGAGGAGGAGGAGGGAGGAGGAGGAGCAGAGGAGGAGGAGGAGGAGGAGGAGGAGGAGGAGGAGGAGGAGGAGGAGCACGGGGTGGAGACGCTGCGAGGTGACGGAGGAGGAGACGGAGGAGGAGACGGAGGAGGAGGAGGAGGAGGAGGAGGGAGGAGGAGAGAGGAGGAGGAGGAGGAGGAGGAGGAGGATGAGGAGGAGGAGGGGAGGAGGAGGAGGAAGAGAGGAGGAAGGGAGGAGGAAAGGGAGGAGGAAAGGGAGGAGGACGGTGGAGGGAGGAACGGGAGGAGGAAGGGAGGAGGGAGGGGGTGGGAGGAGGAGGAGGAGGGGGAGGGGAGGGAGGAGGAGGAGGAGGAGGAGGAGGAGGAGGGGAGGAGGAGGAGGAGGAGGATGAGGAGGAGGAGGAGGGGGAGGAGGAGGAGGAGAGGAGGAGGAGAGGAGTCAGGAGGAGGAGGGAGGAGGAGGAGGAGGAGGAGGAGGAGGAGGAGGAGCCGTAGCCATTTTGGCTCAAGGGGCCTGCTCCTGGACTTCCCAACCTCGTTCAAACGCGGCCAGCAGAGACGGCCATTTCGGCCACGGACCCAGTGCCGCGCAGCAGCCCATGGCGAACTGGAGCTCGCAGCACAGCAGCAGGCAGCAGCAGCGTCATGGCCGCCGCGGAGGTTGGACCTCGGACTGGAGAAGCTGGTCCAAGGACAAGAACGGTGAATGGAAACAACAGGAGCATAGTAAGCAGTACGTTGTGTGTGACACGTGTGGCAGGTGGAAATGGATTAGTCGTGCATACAAGGACCCGCTGTGCAAGTGCGGGGCCATGCTACTCTCCAATGTGCCAAAGAACGAGGAGCCCGCTGAGGATGACCCGCAGCTCATGCGAATCGTCCAGGGGTTGCAGGGGCTTCTTGGTGGCCCGCAGTTGGAGGTTTTCAAGAAGCAATACATTGCCGCCGCGGACGGAGGCGAGGACGACGACGAGGAGACGGGTACCGACCGAGGGGCCCAGTTATCGCAGCAAGTCAGCCTCGCCAAGCGGTCAATGCAAAGGGCCACGGCATGTAAGGATGAATGCCAGAAGCGTGTCGACCAACTACGTGAAGAGTTGGAGCAAGCAGAAGAGTCCCTCGCAGCAGCCAAGGAGACGGCCGCCACAAAGTCCAGGGAGTGGGCGGCCATGGTGCGCCCAGAGGGGGGCGCAGCGGAGGCAGTGCCCACGCCCTCAGTCGCTGGCGCCGCGGCCATGGGCGAGGCCGAGCAGCGCATCTTCGCCCAGTTCCTCGCCGCCAACCCTGCCATCGCGGGGCACTTCGGCATCCAGATGCCAGGTGGGGCCGCAGGGGTCGCCCCCGCGCCAGCCGCCGCCGCCGAGGCCCCAGGCGCCCCAGCCCCAGGCGGCCTGGCGCCACCTGGGCCCGCGGCGGCAGGCGTGGCGCCCGCCCCAGGCGCAGTGGCGAGGGCCGCCCGCCAGGCAGCCATGGGAGCGGGCGCCAGCGGGGGCCCCAGCGGCGGGCGGACCCAGGGCGCCCGCGGCAGGCGCGGCGCCACATCGCAGCCCCCAGAGAGACGCAGCACCAGCCCACGGCGAGAGAACACCATGCAGGTCGACGGCGGCGAAACTGAAGGTTCTCCCCATGTTCGTGATAGCCACGCTTTTCGTGAGCAATAGTGAGGCAGCAATCGCCGACCACCCGTACATAGACTACGCGGCCAATTTTGGCTACCCGTCCTTCTCTCAGGCTATGGGAAATGATAAGGGAAATGCAAGTGGGAAGGGAGGGTCTCTAGCAATCTACGCCGCTAATATCACTACATGGAACAATACCGCTAAGACGTATATCTTGGACTCTCGTTTCACAGCATACGTTTGTGTCCTGACAGGGACGCACCTCGCACTAGACCGACATGGGGATGTTCGGAAAACAATTCAGAAGAGTGGCTGGAAGACATATGTCTGCCCTGCCACACCCACCGCTCAGGGAAGCCAAGGCGGGATCCTTCTTGGGGTTCGATCTCACCTATCTTCTCACGCTCGGGTCATGGGAGCTGAGGGCCACATCAAGCCTCTTGCTATAGGGACCCGATGGACCAGTTGTATTATCAAACTCGATGGGGTGAATTGCTTGGTTGTCGCCGTATATCTGATTTCAGGGGTTGGGAGGAACCGAGCAAATCGTGATATCGTCATGGAATTCACCACCCACATTCGCACGCAGAAGCTCCCCTACCCCATCGCGGGGGACTGGAATGTTGTTCCTGAAGATTTGGAGAAACCCATGAAGTGGCTTTCCTGGGTACGCGGGGTCGTGGTTACCCCAGAAAATACGACGTGGGCGTGCTCGAATGGGCACCGCATGCTGGACTATTTTGTGGTTGACCAGCGTCTTGCCCTCGACACCTCCCTCGC